ACCTTTATTTCTAAGTAGCCTGTCCTTAAATTTTGAAGTTAGAGCATTTTTAAAATGTATAAGTTGGATCATATTAGCAGCATTTATAATCAAATGTATTTTAGCAGCAGTAATTCTTTCCTCGGCAATCAAACAATTTAAAGACAACAATATGGCATAAAGTATCCAGATTCTCTGTGTATTTTTCATCTCTAGGTGGCTTTTTTACTATTCTACTTTTACTTCCTTTTGTTTCTTTTTTCCCGAGACAGGGTTTCTCTGTGGAAACCCGCCTGCCTCTGCTTCCTTTAGCAAATCCTACTGGCATTGGCCAGCACAACCGGCTACTCTGTTTCCTCCTGTTACTTTTTCTCTCACAAGCCTATATATATTTTTAAATGTAGTGTAAACCTCTAGAGGTTTTTCTTCATCTGGATCTGTCTTTATCATCTTGGAAGTGCCGAGTCTAAACCCCAGAAGTGCCGGGATGGTGTGAACATATGGAAGCTGCTCCCATTGCCGCTTAGCGGCCCGACAGGGCAGGCTGTGGTGGCAGGTTCACCTCTTTCTCTGGGAACCTTGGGGCATGGAGTCATCCCGCTCACTGACACCAGAAGACCACTTGTATCAATGGGCAAAATTAAAGTGATAGGAAGGCTGAGAGTGGGCCCCTGTTAGCATAGTGTTTGGTTCAACTCATGAACCAAAGTAAATCTGCTCTTGCTTCTTGTCAAGTATTTGGTCACAGTAATGATGGTTAATAATTAATCCACCACCCCAATAAAGTCCCCAGGGTTCTATATTTGCATCAATTTTCTAATAATTTTATCAATGATGAAAAGATAAGAGGATATGAAACCCTTTCAAGGCTTTGTATCTGTTAGACATAATAGTCTACATCAATATCAAGTGAGTGTGAAGGTGGAGATCACTAACAGATGAGTTTTAGCTAAATTTAAACGTGGAACATTTTTACTGGATTTGTAGAAGACTGAGTAGAGCCCCTAAACTCACTACCTGTGTTAGTTTTGTATCATTGTTCAGTTTATAAGAGAAAATGCTTATTTTGGCTAATGGTTTTCAGAGGCTCTGCACTCTTCAAGGCTACTTTCTCAATGACTTAAACACATCCTACTTGGCCATGCCTTTTACAAGACTCCACCATCCCAAATAATACCACTCTGAGCGACAAACACATTGGCCTTTGGGAGTTATTCAGTATCCAAATTATAGAACTATTCTCATGTCCTCTTCACTGTAGCCAAGGGTGATGGCAGAGCATATTGTTTCTTTTAGGGATGTAAAGGATGCAGAGATGATGGTCCATCATAGCTACATATCTTGGCTCTGGGTTCTGGATACCTAGAATTTTGTGTCCTCAGGAAACCTTAGGCAGAGGACCCAGTAAATGCCCTTTTTATTACAAACTGTTCCTATCTCAGTATTTGTAGTTCTTTATGTCCAGGGAGGGAAAGAAAGCAGAGAACTCAGTGTATTGGCAGTGGTGAGAGAACTGAGTGCCAGAGGATTCCTAGGCTTTTTAACTGTGCCTGTGACTAGCCTTGAGTGGCCATGGCCAATGGATGCAGCCTGTGAAAGGCAAAATGCAGATGAAGGTTTGAGTCATGGCACCAGGTAAGCCACCCAAGTCTGAGGACTTGGGAGCCATCAGGAATCTTTGGGGTTGGCCTCAGCTGCAGAGTGCTGCCTTGAATGAATGTATGTAGTGTGACTCATTTGACTGTTTTGGCTCAACATGGCCCAACTCTGACAAATAACTATTAAGTTAATATCCCTATACAGGATCTATTCACTGTCACTGAATTACAGGAGTAAGCATATTTTACTCCTTTGCATTTTGTGTTTGATTTGGCAAACTTTTCCTGGAATATTGTATTGAAGTATTTGAGG